AAAAAAAAAAAAAAAAAACAAAAGACGACCCAAGTGACCCGGGCACCACCAGAGAGCCCAAACCCATGAACCCTGAGTCCCAAAACCCAAGCTGCAATGAAGATCTGAATTAGGTCCGAGGTCGAACATTTAATCCTCTCCGACACCTGACACCTGACATCCAATGCCGGGTTAGGGCGGTTTGGGTTTAACGGTTTGGGTTTTATGGTTTACCTAAACTCCCAAGGGTAGGTAAATAGCCCCATGCAAAAAACAGGCTCTTACACCGCATACTTGTAGGGTCCCCCCGGAAAGCGAAACGCTCATCCTGAGCTCGGGTTGTTAGAAGGCTTTCAGCAATTTGATGCAAGAGTTTAGGGTTTAAGGTTTAGGGTTTAGGGTTAAGGGTTTAGGGTTTAGGGTCCCTAAAACCCCAAACCCTCTTTCGAGTTGCGAGAGTCCAAACCCTAAACAGAAACCTGCAACCGGCTGGCACGTCGCCTCGTCCCAGCCATAGCTTTCCGTCCCGAAGGTCAAAATCATTAGACCTGGCACCGAAATTTTACTAGAATATACTCTGGTTCTACTATACTGTACGATGCTAGAAATGAGGTTCATCCTCCCTGCCGTTGCGCACGTGATCGTGTTCATGTTTACTTGCATGCGCATGCGTGGGACCAGAGCGATTCCTTGCTGCGGCCGTTGCCTGCTGAGCCGTGGCAGGTTTCTCTTTCAATGTGCGAGGCTTCAGGGGCATCCGATTTAGGGCTTTGTTGTGTTATGGCTTGAGGATGAGGCTGGGAGCTTCGTGTTTTTGTGGACGATGTTTGATTTCCCTGACAGCGCAATTAGCAACGGACCCGCTTGAGTCAAGCCTACATCAGCATGACATAAACCCTAAACCCCAAATCCAAGTCCCACAGTCGGTGCAAATAGGCTCATAGCTCTTGCTCTTGCAACAGGTTTGTGCGTGTTTCCGCCATGCAGGTGCTTTTTCGTTGTTGGGGCCACACGCTGGATCAAATCCGTATTTTGGGAGGGGGGAACGAACCCGGGGTCGGCATTGCTATGCTAAGGAACTCGCTCCTGGCAAGAGGGCGCAATGTTTTGCCAGACTGCGCTGCAGAGCCAAATCATAGTGAGGAGGACTCCGACAACGACTCTTCGAGCACGGAGGAGACGTGAAAAAGTACGATCTGCATCGGGGTCACAACATCCTCCAGTTGGGGTGTCCTGTTGAGCTCATAACTTCTAGCCCTGGATCCATCATCTACTCACTGTTTCAATAGGTTGTTGTCGACAACCTCCTGGAGGAGCATGAATGCTAACACTTTTTTGTGGAGAGTTCAAGGCAGGGCTTTTTCGTGTTTTAGGCGTAGGCATCCCTGGTGAGCATTTACAACAAAATCCCCTCCACACGCTGTTTTTGAGGAGAATATGCAGTGCACATGCCCGCCTGGCTGCCCTTAACCAGACTCCTCGACCCTAAACCCCTAAACCCCTAAACCCCTAAACCCTAAACTAGGCAAGTCCGAGAGTTAGTGCTGAAACCCTAAACCCTAAACCCTTCACCCCAGGCTTTACAGCTTGCCTGGAATCGGCACCCCGAGCCCTGAACCAGCTGAGACGAGTCAGTTTTTTGAACTCCGGGGCGCCGTAGCCCCTTTTCAGGCTTTAGGGTTCCTAAAGGCCGGCATACTGCTCGAGTCCGTGCTCAAAAAGGGTTTAGAAACCCCTAAACCCCTGCATTGAGGGGTCTCGGGATCGATTTTTTCTTTAAATTTTTGTTGAACGAAGCGGCGGCATGCTGAGCTAGCAGCTGTTGAGCCGACCAGGGTCTCCAAAATGCGTATTATAGGGGCCTTAGTAGTTACCCATACTATTTGTGGGGGGTGTTTGTTATTATAATTACCTATACTTTTTTTTTGGAGGGGGTCTTCATTATGATTATAGTATAGAATAAATAATATAACCCCAAAACCTTATTCTAGTTATGACGGCCCCCTACATTGTTTAGCCTCGGGCCAAGACGGTGAACCTGAAGCCTAGCCCTTAAGGTCTATAAGGTCCTGAGTCGTCGCTCCCGTACGCAAATTTCCGGGAACAGGACCGGGGAAATTCCCGAAGCTTAAAGAACTCGCAGAACTAAATTCCAAACCCTGCATTTTACAGGCCTGCCCATACAGAACCCTTGTAGCATCCACAGCGGATAGAACCCTCACAGACGCGTCATGGTGAGGCCCCTCATGAATATAGAACCCCTCCACGCACCTGAGGTTGATGCTCTCCGCGCCGCTTGGGCGGCAGGCCACATGGGCTCCAAAGTTTTGCAAAGTGGGTTTAGGGTTTGGTGTTTAGGGTTTAGGGTATGGTTGTGGGGGCTTGGCTTGCAGGTCGCGTGCTGGTTAAGCACACAGGTGGCGAGAAGACACGGCCCACCCCAAGACCGCCGAAGCACTGATCAGACTTCACAGCGAAGCACAGCACGCAGATGTTCCACGTTATCTCGGAATGCCCTTATTAACCGAGTGTCCGGTGCAGAAACTTGCTGTAAGGGCCGATTCACCCTAAATCCCAAAACGTTTACCGTAATTGCCGCAAGACAGCAAAAGCTTGCGACCCGCGGCTGCCGGGCTCTGCCATCCATGAACCCCTCTTCAGCCAGCTCCCTTTAAAAGGGCTCCTTTAAGGGATTTTATAGGGTTCCTTTAAAGGGCTCTTTAACGGAATCTGTAGTAGGTAGGATTCCTTTACCGGTTTCGGGTGTAAAGTTGAGTGCATCACTCCTAAAAATGCCCGGATGCTGAGAATTTTCCTGTTTTTTGCAAGGTCCGAAATCGAAGCTTAGTGCTCCGTTTCAGTGGCTTCACAACAAAAGGCCAACCACAAAACTCAGTGCTACTCTCCACCCCGTAGACCATCCTAAATCCCCCACACCCCTCCTAACGCGCTGCCTACAAGAGCCCTGCACCCTTCACCCAAGATCCTAAACACCAAACCCTAGACCATCCTACCCCTGAAAACTTGGAACCCTAAACCCCAGTAGATCCCTTAAAGGAACCCCTATGAAGGCTATGTAACTCCTGGCTTCTGGTCTCCGGCTCTGCGAGAGGCCGAGCAGCGCGCACGAGCCAAGGCCCGTCTACAACCATAAGAAACACCACACATACACCCGCTGTTTAAAGTATGTTTAAAGGGCTAGGGTTAGGGGGAAAACACACAGACACCCTCTGTTTAAAGTTTTAAGGGTTAGGGCTTAGGGAAAAGCGGCAAAAGACCCTTAACCATGCGCAACCTTGCTCAGACCCGTACAGTAGCCGAAAGACGGTGTCCGTGTCTGGAGAGCCCGCGTGTGAGAGCGCAGACCCTAACTCGGCTGAAGATGCGACCTCGCAACAAAGTCGGTTATGGTCGCATAACATCGACCAGATGCAGAAGCACACTCCCAGAACCTTTCATGTAAGCAATATACCGAAAACTATAGCGGGATCCTTACTGCGATTTAGGCTCTCTTCCTTACATAAAGGGGTTTCGGAGTCTCTGTTTATAAACCCTATATAAGGCCTACACGCTAATTGCACGCTTAACCCCAAACCCAAAACCCCTAAACCCTAAACCCCAAATCCTTAACTTTACACCCTATACCTGAACCGTGGCCCATTTTGAGGACGCCTCCTTCAGCCCGGAGGACATCGCCAGTGCCGCGCTCCTGGCTGCGAGGATCCTTGCTCATCTCAAGGCTGCCTGGGGCGTTTTTTTTTTGGGGAATTTTTGAACAGGGTTTCCGGTTTATAATATAGGGTTTAGGGGGGTTTGGGGTGAATTCTTGGTAGGGTTTCCGGTTTAATATAGGGTTTAGGGAGGCTGCGGGCCTCATGGGGACTTTGAAAGGCTGAATAAAATTAGTGGCTTTAAACAGTTAGAAAAGGAGTGCTCAGTGGTGTATTGTAATTAAGGGGAAACGGGAAAATTGCTTGGAGGATCGGGGGGCTTGGCGGTAGCCATAATAATACCCGCTCCGATTCAAGTACGAAGACCTAGCATGCAGACCTCAACCTTTTGAGGCAGCTAAGAGACAAGAGCCGTCCGCTTTGGCGGCGCCGGCAGCAGCGCTCCTCTCGTCCGCCTGCGACCTTGCACTGCACAGGAGCGGCAGGGGGACACGGGGTTTAGGGTTTAGGGTTGGGTGCTGCGGAGGGTTTGGCAAATCTGGGCTTACTCATGGCGGCTGTGGTTGCTATTGCTTTTGCTGCAGCAGCCGTGGCTGCTGGTGCTGGTGCTTATTTTCATTTTTGCTATTGCCACTGCTGTTGCTGTGGCTGGTGCGGTTGCTGTTGCCTGTTCCTGTTCCTGTTCCTGTTCCTGTTCCTGTTGTTGTTGTTGCTGCCACTGCCGCTGCCGCTGCCGCTGCTGTTGCTGTCGCTGCCGCTGTCGTTGTCGCTGTTGCTGTTGCTGCTGCGGCCCTATCTGTGCCCGATGTGTTGTCAAGAGAAGCATCAGCTGTAGCGCTGGCGGAAACGATCCTCATGTCTTGTTGTTGGTCAAAACGATCATCACTGACTAGCACAGCAGCCACAGCAGCCAAAGTGACCCCGTTCACAACCCCCGAAACCCAATGCAACCCTAAACCCTATAGCCCTAAACCCGAGACCCCAAATCTAGGGTGTACTAACCCTGATTTAGGTTTTGTAAGCCTTAAACCGACCTAAACCCCACATGCGGTAAACCCTAGACTCTAGACCCCAAACACAAGCCTAAACTCAAAATCAGCCCTAAACCACCAAAATCCCTCATAGAACCCTTATGGTAACCTGATTAGAACCCTCGCGAACTCCTTTGTAAACCGAACCCGGAAGACCCAGACTGGACTTCCGAAGGGTCTCCGAGCTGGGCCCGCGGGAGCTTGGGGTGCTGGTGACGGTGGCATGGTTCAGATGTGCGTAATGGTTTTCCACGGCTGTTCTTCGGGTTTCGTGAGGGGGGTTTGGGGGGGGTTGGTTTCGGTCATATGGCCTGAAACCTAGCTTTAGTGCTTTGGGTTTAGGCTTTAGGGCTTTAGAGCTTATAGGCTGAGGCTTTAAAGGGGTCAGGGCTTAACTAACTAGTACTAGGCTTTGGGCTGTCACAGGTGTTGGGATCTTCTTCAGCCATTCTACGTAGCAGTGTGGCAAACTGACAGCGAGACAACAGCGCATCCGAGGCAACGTCGACAAGAGCAATCACACCAAAGGAAGTAGCACCAAATATCCACTTGACATCCCAGCGTTGCGAGCGGGGTCCTGCAGGGTTTAATGAGTTCAGGCTTTTGCTGATTTCCCGTGCAAGTCCCGCACTCCAGCAACCCAAGGGACCAGTGATGCTCAAGCGCAGTGCACCTCACTGCCGTTCGGCTTTTGGAAATCCCTTCGTCTCCGAATAGAACCCTTATGATAGTAAGGCAGCAAGCACTATAGAACCCGTTGGGGATTCTCAGAGCATCAGAACCTTTTCACCCGGAGCCCTGAAACCAAGGCTCTCGCGAAGGCCGGCGTGGACGATGGCCGGCTCTTTGCCGCCCTGTGCCTTGGTTGCTGAACCCCAGTTTGTTCCCCTGAACCCTAAACCCTGAACCCTAAACCCTAAACCCTAAAACCCTAAAACCCTAACCCCTAAACCCTAGGTCGAGGAGCACTGTTAAGGGTTTCGGGTTTAGCGTCTGGGCCCTACACCCCAAACCCTAAACCCTAGGGTCGCCTAGGGGGTCTTCGTTTTGGCCAAAAAACCCAAACAGAGGGAACCTTTAGGGCTATAAAAAACCGTTGCAACTGGGCTACTAGGGCTGCCTTGAAGAGGTCTAGGGCTCGGGGGGTTTTGATCTAGGGTTTTGAGTCCAGTGCTTGGGTCCAGCCTTCGGTTTGAAGAAGCTTACGTAGGTAACAGCTCCGTGTTGGGCTTCAGGGTGTGCTGTGCAATGTAAAGCAGCTACGGGGCAGCTACACACCGGATTTCCCTAAACCCTAAGCCCTGTGGCGCCTTATACCCTTAACCAGGATTGAGCTCGGGCCTGACTTGCGTGATATCCCCGAACACCAAACTCGGTAAACCCTGCACCCCGAAATCCTAAATCCTGTGTTGAATGTTGTTTTGGGTGCTGTTCGAAAGTATCCGGGCGCCTTCGGATTACAGGTCCGTTTCCTGGGGGCCTGTAGAGTAGAGTAGAGTAGAGTAGAATAGTCTAGTACAATAGTATAGTGTAGGTGTAGTATTCTTGCCATAAGGAATATCAGGCTTCCTTCATCGTGTAGGCATATCGAGTTGCTTGAACTAGGACCAGGGTAGCTTTCATCAGGGGCATTTATCACATGATTATATACCCCGACCACCCTTGTGATGATTCCTCTGAGCTTTTTGCTTTTGTGTATAAAGCCGGAATACACCGCTGACAATGCAACAAAAAAACATTCTAAATCCCTATCAACCCTTCTAGCCCAACTTCCCACTAACAAGCCTGCATGAGGCCCTCAAACCCGTAAGACATCCTTCGGAAAGCCCCAAAACCCTTGCAGGGAAAGCCACCTAAGCACTCCAAAACTCTCACGTTCAAATCTGGAATATACCATACTACAAGTTTAGGGTTTTTGGGACGGTTTAGGGATTCCCCGCATGATTTATGTGATACCCGTTGCGTGAGCGAGTGCGTGAGTCGAAACCCTAAGCGATATTCCTTCATTACAGGGTTCGTTTTTGGGTTTCCGGGAAGGTCCCACCAGACCCAGCAGCTCACTGCGCGGGGTGCAGAGTTTAACCATCTGGATCTCTGCCAGCATCCTGCCAGCGATTGCTTTTGTGTCTGGGTTCTTATGAATTAAGGGTTTTAGTTAAGTTGCCAGAATGAAAGAAATTCTATCAGAGCCCTATTATCGAAGCTTTAATTCCTTAGCAAGAACCCAGTTTTGTTTCTTTTCGGGTGGCTTTGGGGGTTGAGGCTCCTTTTGCAACACGTTTATAACGATGTTTAAAGCTGGAAGGGCATTGGGGTTTTAATATAAGGTTTTACGATTTAGGGGTTGGGTTGCTTTGGGGGGTTAAGGTTTTGGGGCATTTTTCGGATTGGGTGGCCGGTTACTAAAGTTCTCTAAACCTTGAACCCTAAGCCCTGAACCCTAAACCCTGAACCCTAAACCCTAAACCCTAAAGTTCTGTTCTCCTAATGAAATCAACTGGCTTACCGAGCGATGCCCTGAACCCTACAGCGCCGGACCCTGCACGTATAGACGGCGAAGCCCCTATCCTAGCCCTATTCTAGGACGCCGAAGCCCTATCAGGCTTACCTAAAGCAACCGTAATCGGCTTTTCGGTGGGTTTCTTATTATCACCCCAGATACGGAACCTATGGGGACACTACAAGAAGCTAGGTTCAGGCAGGTTAAGGTAATCCCTAAACCATCCTAAACCCCAGCCAAACCCCCCAAATCCCTGATAGACCCTTATAAGGATTTTTCATAGGAGCCCGTCCAGGAGCCCTTAGAGTCTAAACCTTATACGTAAACCCTAAACCCTAGGCAGCCTGGGCCTAAGCCCTATCAGGCTGCTGGCAGCGCTGGCTCATTTCGGATATCGTGGCCCGGATACTGGGTTGAGGGTTTGGGTTTAGGGCTTTGGGTTTAGGGTTCCCAAGGTATGGGCCATAGGTCTTAAAGTTTTCTTCATAGCCGATGTTGAGCTCAGAGTGCTGCGGTCAAGGATGGAGTCTAGGGCTAAGTCGAGGGTGTTTGGGAGCATTTAGGGTGTTTTGGATTCGGGCGGACCCACAGACCTAAGTGTTGGGGTCTAAGGGACCTCCTCTTCAACCCTAAATATACCCCAGCCGGGCAACTGCAACTTGCCGGTGAGGTCGGTAGTGCCGAAACTATCCTTACTAGTAGTGGGATTGGGAGGGGATCTGTTTAGTAGCAACCCACTATGTCACTATGGGTATAAGGGCATGCTGTCTTTTCAATCGTGTCAGGCGACGTTGCCTTCTTCTGCCACATGGTTCGACTCCTCTGGTCGTTTCCTCGATTTGGAGCTGACCTAACCCCAAGCATACGCGTTTCTAGAAGTGTGAATTTCGGGCGCAGGTTTGCGCCAGAACTCTAAACCTCGAGCCCTGTTTATAAGGCCTACCTATAGTCTCCATTGTTACCATATACACGAACGTGAATGAAGAAATGGTTCAACCAAAACGAGGAACTACAGTGGATACTATGGGTAAAACCCTAAGCCCTAAACCCTAAACTAAACCCTAAACCCTAAACTGAACCCTAAACCCTGAACCCTAAACCCCGGTCGCCTGCACTGCGAAGTCGCCGAGGCGATGAGATGCTCTTGCAAGGCTTGACCTCGAAGGTCGAACTGGCTTTCAGCACTTACAGTGCAAAGTCGCGAGACATCGCGGTCTGGCTGCAAGAAGAAGCACTTAGGAACGCAGGCTGGGCGAAAACCGTCGTGATACTTGTATAACCTTATGCAAACAGATAATATATGTATGTATATATATATATAGATATGTTGATAATATGTATGTGTATGTGTATATATATATATATTTCTATATATATATATGTATATGTGTACATATACATATATATATATAAGTATGTATGCATGCATGTATGCATGTATGTATGCATGTATGCATGTATGCATGTATGTATGGATGGATGGGTGGATGCATGGGCGTATGTATGTATGTACGTATGTGTGATGTAGGTATGTATGAAATGTAACGTACTGTACTGTAATGTAATGTAATGTAATGTAATGTAAGGTAATGTATGTACGCACGTACGTCTGTACGTATGTACATATGTATGAATGTATCGATGCATGTATGCATGTATGTAGGAATGTATNNATGTATGTATGTATGTGCGTGTGTGTATGTAATGTAATGTAATGTAATGTAATGTAATGTAATGTAATGTACTGTAATGTACTGTAATGTATCTGTGTGTATGTATATATATATATGTGTGTGTGTGTATATGCGCGTACGTATATATATATATATGTTCAAGTTTGGACCCAGCTTTCCCAATGACCAAGTATGTGCAGGCACATCCCAATGAAACGCTGTCGGATCTCTGCTAAAGGGTTCATTGACAGGTCCTGCGTGGTGGATAATCGGTGTCGCTGAATTCTACATGACGCAGCTTCGGCTGTAAGACTCGTCTGAATCGAGACGCTTCAGTCGTGCAGTCGTGCGTAGATCAGTAAACCTACGCGCTTGAATGACCACAGTTGTAAACCTTACTCACTCTAACTAAAGCCTACTCGCTCAGCTTTCTTTTCAATCTCAATCCCTTATTGAGTGTGGGGTTAACTTGGCATACCGTTATACCTCGACCTAAAACACCAATTGAATAGTTGTCAGGGTTCCGGATGATGAGTTCCTTATACATGCACATAGACAAGTACATACTTTTCCTGAAAAGGCAGGGTCTTTGAGGCTTGTGGTAGGGCGTGCTCTCACCCCTAAACCCTAAACCCGATGCTGAAGTTCTCAGGTCCTTTCGTCCCTTTCCGAGCTCGACTTTGCATGCGCGGAGCACCCACTTCTCAGCGAGGCGTTAAAGGCGCTTGGCTTGGGGGTTTAGGGTTTAGGGCTTAGGGGTTTAGGGGTTTAGGGTTTAGGGCCTAAGTTTGGGTTTAGGGGTTTAGGGTTTAGGGGTTTAGGGGTTTAGGGTTTAGGGGAGAGCATCCAAAGAACTGGCTCCACTCGTGTGCTCTTAAAACCTTTTCCGAAGGGGTGTCGAGTATGAAACCTTGTACAACCGGGAAAGGGTACCTCTGGAGGAGACTACGCAGGTTTGAGCCTTGGTAATGTGGATCCTGGCAATTGGATACTGAGTGGGGATTCGGCACACGTGGGCTACACCCGCTGGTCTCCAGCACACGACACAAACCCCTACAGACCTTGCAGCCCAGTTCTGGTTGTCGGGTTTAGGAGGTTTAGGGCTTGCACCCGCCTTTGTTAGGAGCACGAGCTGACCCGTGGGCGCACCACGGAGCGGACGCAAGAGCACATGCTGGCCACCGAGATCTACCCGATTGATGCGCGTGTGGATCAAAATTGACTCGAGTTTTCTTTTCGGCCTCTAACCTGGAATGTGAAAAAAATTGAAAGTCCTCTACTCGCATGCCCGGAACTCTCTCGCTAGTTGCCCGGTAGTATAACGCTTAATGCCTTAGTGTGGTGGCGGGTTTAATGTGCCCCCCCTCCGACCAAAAGTATGCGGCTTCTTTAGCATGTTGGTTCGGCAGGTTGGCGGCTGGGGTTGGCTTGGGATCTGGGTGGCTTTGACTAAATTGAAAAGGTTTCTGGGAGATGAGGGGTTTGAGGGCTTGGGTGAGGGTCCGAATGAAGGCCCGGGTCGGGGGGTTTGGGGTCATCTCCCCAAAAGCTCGAAACCAAGCCCCCTTCATTCTGAGGGCTTTAACCTCCAACCTTGCAGTAGTACAGCGGTAGTAACGGTAGTACAGTAGTAGTGCAGTAGAAGTTTAGCAGGGCGAAGGTTTTATGCAAAAGGGGTTAGGGGTTTTGGATACTACAGGGTTGGGAGAACTGTGGGTGCTGTATAGTTTTTGGCACACAAAAGCAAGCATGTGGGGGCCAGGGTTTTAGGCGTTTTAGGGTTCGGGGTTTAGGGTTGAGGGCTCTTTAATTTTTAGACTTTAAGGCCAGGGTTCCCGTAGTAAGCCCTAAAACCCTAAACCCTGAACCCTATAACCATAACACTAAGCCTCAATCCTTCCTTCTTTCTTGGCCCAGGGCTCCTTCGCCATTGGCGATATAGACTCGGAAGGGCCCGGGGTAGCGCCATGGCGGGCAACTCTCCAACATCACCCCTACCGGGTGTGACACGGGGAGGTGCGAAAGCTGCCCCTATTGGAAGCTTAGGCAGCATCTTCGGCAGCAGTTAAGAAAGCAGTTTGCCGCGAGTTTCAGAACCCATAAAGCCACGCAAACCACGAACGGAGATGTCTTGAAACTCGCTAAGGCATCACCATCCACTCTCCTCTCGGCTCCGTGACGAATGGCGGCGCGTTTGCCAGCGGCCACTTCAAGGTCACACCCCATGGCCAGCGACGCCGTTGGGCAGACATGACCCCAGTTGAGATGCTTGGTAGCTGAGTGGATACACTTTACACTTCTTGGCATAATGTTACCCACTCTAAAACTGGAAGTGTACACTTTTTGGGGGGCTTATGAACTCAGCAACTAAGGATGTGGCCAGCTACACCGAGTCCCGGGGCTGGGCCAGAGGCCCTTCACAGTTTCGGCGTGCCCGCCGCCAGTGCAACGCCCACCTCCCCATCGACAGTGCCAGCGCAGGCTTTCCCTGCCTACACCGTGACCTCTCAACCGCAGGGCCAGCCGCAGCATGCCCCACCAGCTCACATGCAAGTGCACCCAGTGCCTGAGCTGCATTTCAGAGGCTGTGCAGGCTTCAAGTCTTCCTGGCATTTGACATGATTCCGTCCAGGGTTTAGGGCTTTAGTTTAGGGGTTTAGGGGTTTAGGGTTTAGGGGTTTAGGGTTTATAGGGTTTAGGGGTTTAGGGCTCTTGAAGCTGAGGCGCCGGCACCGGTGCAAGCGGTACCTGCAGCGGCCTCGATCCCGGCGCCTTTCTCGGGTGGCGTGATCCCGGCGGGGATGCCAGCAGTACCAATGCCTGGCATGCCGATGCCCATGCCAGTGCAAGGACTTCCAGTGGTTTAGGTTTAGGGTTTAGGGCATCCATCCAGGGCCCCCCTAAGCCCTAAACCCTATAACCCTAAACCCTAAGTAAACCCTAAAACGCCCCACTAAAGCTTTATGACTGCTCCAGGAGTCATAGCACCATGATACGGAGCCCAAACATCTTGGATTTGCAGGGATATAAGGTTGCACACTGCGTTGCCGACCTCGGGGTTGTGTCAAGGTGAGTCCAGGACACATGGGGATCGACCGGTCCATGAACATCTTTAGGGTTTTGGGTTTAGGGGTTTTGGGTTTAGGGGTTTAGGGTTTAGGGTTGTGGTTTCTAAACACCTGCCTTCTAAGTACTGCTCCTGGTATCAAGACGGGCAGAAGTATGGTCAGAAGTGCTCATACCCTCGCAATTTCACTACTATGAGCATCGGTATGTCAGTGTTTCCCTAAACCCTAAACTCCTAAACCCCCAAACCCTTGCCTCTGCACAGCTCTTAGTTCTGTCTTCGTAGACCCGGACCTCCGCAGCCTATTATACAAAGAAGCCTAAATACTTACCATATCACTGTTAGGGCTCCTTATTACAATAATACGATAAAGGAGCCCAAAACCCTGCTCTAACTAGTAAGGCCCCGACAGTACATGCCTCAACTAACAAACTAGGGCTTTCAGGCTTCGGGGTTGCTTTACCCAAGCAACTCCTCAACCTTTTATAAGCCCCAAGCCCAAACCCTGAAACGTGACGGTTTAGGGTAAAGGTTTTAGGGTTTAGGGTTTGGGGTTAAGGTTTTAGGGTTTCAGGGCTTAGTGCATTGCAGTCCCTGCTCAAAAATTGGGTTTAGGGAGAAAAGGCGCCGACCAAAAAGCACCCAAATCGCAGACCCGAAGCAAAGCTCCAAACCCGCAAGCTCTGAGGTCTGGCAGTGCTGTAGGAGGCCGAATAGCCAGAATAGGAATCACGGTTTAGGGTTTAGGGTATGGGATTCGTGGTCAAATTTTGGTGCACACTAGCTGTCGGGGGGGGCGTTAATGCCTCGACTAAGGCTTGGTGCTGTAGTGCAGTATGCTGATCATAAAGATCCCTGCGGAATGGAATTGGTAATTATCCACGCTTGTTTCTGCATTACCCGTACCTTTGGGGCTTGAGTTAAGGGTTCAATAATTTGTTTTGGGGTCTAGGTGCTCTGATTATAGGCCTCTAGGGCCAAGCAACACTACCGAAGGGAGACCACCCATTGAAGCACGAAGTCTCTTCCGCTTCACATTGAGATTCTGCTGGTTTTGGAATTGAAACCGAAGTTTTTGGCGTCCCTCGGCAATGCTTCCATGTATCGCGAATCCTAAAAATCCCGCATGCCAAGCGCGAAACCAACAACTGAACCTCTAAAAGGCAGCACACGCCCTTCAACCTTGAACCCTGATCCCTTCCCTCAGCCCGAAACCCTAAACCCTTAAAGCTTTAAACCCTAGCCCAGAAACCCTAAACCCCCTCAACCCAAAAACCTTCAAACCGAACACATCCCTAAACCCTATAAACCCTAAACCCAAACTCTTTAAACCCCTAAACTAAACCCTAAACACTTTTTTCAACCCCTTAACCCTAACAGGCCCTTCTAACAAAAGAGCCCCAGGAGGCGCTGATGGCACGCAGATGGTCATCATGCAGGTCACTGCTCTGGGCACTCCTTTGGGGGCCCTGTGGGGGGGGGGGGTCCTATCAGGCTGCCTTTCCGGGTTTCTGTTTCAGGTTCCTTTTTCGGGTTTCTCTTAAGGGTGCTTTTTGGGGGTTCTCTTTTAGGGTTCTGAGGTTCGTGCTGTCAAGTTACGGATACTCCCTTTGAAAGCAATGCTTCTTGTCAAAGTCAAGACCAGCCCCTAAACCCTAACCCCTAAACCCTAAACCCCGAAACCAAAACCCTACACCCTAAACGTTGAGGCTTCGTGACTTCAGAGTTTTTTGGGCAAAAATGGGGGCTCGAAGGAGGATCTCGAGCCCGGCCCTTGGGACTTCTGGGAATCACTTACTATAGGAGCCTTAAAAGAAAGAATAGGGTTTTGGGAGGCTCCCTAATATAACTATATAGTATAATGGACCCCCAAACCCTACTCTAATTTTTAAGGCCCCCATTTTACAGGATTCGGGGCGCTTAGATTATAGACTTCGGGTCCTACAATGGCCAGAGGGGAGCGGCCCTGATGATAGCGGCAAAAACCTCCGCACTACGGCGGCTGATGAGATAAATCCTGCATCGCCCAAAATAAGGAATAGACCATAGTTCCCATAGTTTAGGGTCCTTAAGGTAATGCAGGATGTATATCATCAACAGTAGGTAAGCTCATGTTTCTGGGCTTTGCGCCTTTGGAGCCTTCGGACCAGTCATGCCCCCGAAGACGCCCCCAGTTCTCTAAATTAGGGTCCCTTTTTAGGTCACCAATATACTACGGCACCCGTATTAAAAAGGACTGTAAAAGAGACCCTACTTTAGAAAACTACCCATGTAAGCATGCTTGAAGCTCGCGAAGACCTGCAGTGTTGCACTGCCCCGAGCCTACACAGAAACGGCCGTGAAGCCCTCAAGACCCGCAGCCAGCAACCCTGAAGCCCTCAACTAACCCCGAAGCTGTAGACTTAAGCCTCAACCCCGAAACCTTAAACCTTAGAGGCCCTTGGCCTGAAAGCCCAAAAAAGTCTCCAGGCCCCAAGGCTTTTGGTTTAAAGCCTCAGCCGCAACTCCTTCTCCCTGCAGCCCAGGGGCCCAACGCCCAGCACCCGCAGCCTCAGCACCCGAAACCCCTGAACCCTAGTCAGAGTCAGCAGCCTGCGATCTTTGCAACCTAAGGACCTAGTAGCCTAAGCATCTGGAAGCTGCTTTGGGGTATCGGATGTAGGGTTAACAGGGTTTAGGGTTTAGCGCCGAGTTGAGAGCTTTTACCACGCTAGGAAAGCCCTAAAACCCTAAACCCCGAAACCCTAAGCCCTAAACCCTAAACCCTAAACCCTAAAAGCCCTAAACCCGAAGCCCCGAAACCCCGAAGCCCCCAGCCGAGGTACCTGCAGGGTCACAGCAGCCACAGGCCTTCATCCAAATGCCCATGGCTCCTCAACAGCCTGGGGCACAGGCAGGGCTTGTGGGTTTAGGCTTTAGGGCCTACTGTTAAGGGTTCAGGGTTTAGGGTTTAGACCATGCTGAAAAGGGTTTAGGCTTTGCGGTTTAGGGTTTAGGGTTCATGGGGTTCAGGCCTTGGGGAGCGTACAGATTGTCTTGGCAGTAGGACCATCGAAACCCAGCATTCCTGGAGCGCGTGCTGCGCCACACCTAAGGTTGCGGACCTTCAAACTCCCGAGTGTCCAGTTTCTCAGAAGCTGGCTGGAGGAGTGATTCCCAGATAGGGGGTGCGGGGCCCCCTAAAACGCACTTACAAATATAAAAATTACCAAAACTGTAGGCCTAGGCCCTATAACCGTCGGTTTAAGCCCTCTTTCGCAAGGAGCTTGCAGAGTGGAGGATCCACGAAGCAAGCACTGGCTTAGGCAATACCTTAAACCCCACAAGCGTTCTACCTTTTCAAGGATTCATTATGTCATATGGGTAGTTTTCTAAATTAGGGTCCCCTTTCAGGTCCCCAATATAGTACGGCACCCTTATAAAAGGACCCCCCCTTAAAAAAGAGAACTACCCTTTGAGGAGATCATCGTCCGGAAGCCTACGAGAGCAGGGTTTACAGCGTTCAGATAGAGTTTACATAATAAGGTCAAGGAGGTTTTCAGTCCAAAGATCCACTATTATAGCATAGTGGAGTAGAGTTCGGCACACGATCGTAAAGTATATCATGCTTTATTTCACTGTGTTATATCAGATTATGTTATCTTATACTGTCTAATGTATTGGTTTTTATTTTCTTACATTATGCTATGCAGGCTTTCTGGCGCTTGCTTCGGATGATGTCCCTGTTTGTCTGGAGATTCGTTTTTTTTTCCCAGCCCAGGGCCTGTTGCCTACCTCTTGTCGCTAGCTTCCAAAGAGGGTCCATGTGGGTAGTTCTCTAAAGTGGGTTACCTATTTTGGTCCTCCATAGTGGTATGTATGTATGTATGCATGCATGCATGCATGTATGCATGTATGTATGTATGTATGTATGTATGTATGCATGTATGTATGTATATGTATGTATGCATGTATTTATATATATATATGTGGACCCTCTGGGTTCGTTGGCTATGATCGCGGCGGCCTCGTATTTGGTGGAGACTGAAGCTCCTAAGGTCCTAAAGCTCTCCGCCAACTCCGCATCGCACGTCTAAGTTGAGCTATCGTCGCTATCGTGTTTGCTTCGGGCCTAAACCCAAACCCTAAAGCCCCGAACCCTAAAACCCAAAGCCCTGCTGCAGCTCATTTTATCGGATCAGTTGCCAAAAGCAGCCCAAAGTATAGTATAGGGGGCCAAAACCCGCCATGATGCAGAGACGTAGCCGACCTGGACATCTTCGGAGCCTAGGGGCCCTCTGCGCCGCCGCCTGCGCAGCCCGGCTCGACAGGGACAACCATATATATGGGAAGTTCTCTGACTTAGGGTCCAGTTTAATTAAGGGGTCCTTTATATAAGGGTGCCATACTGTTTTTGGGGCCAAGGGATCCTGATTGTGGGGTTTAGGAACTAGGGCTTTAGGGTTTTAGGCTTTAGATTTGAGGTTTAGGGCTTGGGGTTGTGCAGCGGTTGGGGTCGTGAAACTCGGTTTCCGATCAACAG